GGTGTTGGAGCTCCCACAGGTATACCAATAGCTGCAAAATTATTTAAAAAGAAAAACCAATGAGAATATGCCAAGTGTTTACGGACCGAAGTTCAATCCACTATATTATATTTCTAGTGAAAGTGTATCATATCAATGAAATATAAGGCATGCAAAATATACTTCATGTTACAAAACATGTGTTTTTATTTTCCTTTTAAATTTTAGTAATACTACATGTGTTGCGACCACCTAATCAAAATGTCACGTTAAAAAAAATTTAGTTTATAACAAAAAAAAAAAATTCATGTCAATGAATTACACAACTTATAAAACAATGCATAGAAACTCCCAGTCTCCCATAAATTTTTATTTTAAGTGACATTATAAATGCTTTTGTCTATACCAACCATTTTTCCACATAATTTTTTTTTTTTAAAAAAAAATATTATCTCGTGAAATCTATAATACCAGAAAAACCAACTATTTATACAGCGAATAGGTTAGTTGGAAGTTGTGAAGTTTGTAGCATTTATGAGCAAAACGGGTCCCAAGATGTCGGCCCGAACATTCAGAATTAAAGTGTTTTGGGCCAAAAATGATTTTATTTTTAAACCGCAATTAACGGACCAACGGCTAAAAATAATAACCGCAATTTTTAAATTAAGCAATTTTTCAAGAAATCCTTAAATTAAACCATATATTATAGGATTCTTAACACATTATATAAGTTCTATAGAATCTAAAGTAAGAGAGATACACTTATAATTTTATTATATTATTTTTTATTCTTTTCTTTGAAGGAGGTCTATAGACATTCTTGCGAAGAAGACTAGTGGAAATCAATAGTCTAATTGTAATTTTGAAGAAATTTTATTTATTTTTGCAGATTTTATTCATAAGAATTTCGATGAGGAATAAAAAGTAAGAATTTTAAAATTATAAGTATATCTCGTTCTCTTATTTTAATTTTGTTTTATATAATTTTAATAACATTTTAAATAATCTGACAATCATTAGGTAAAAAGTGTCAGTATAGTAACAATTGAAAAGTGAAAATAGCTACATGAATAATTCAAAGATGGAATCAATTCAATAATAAAAAAAATATTATTTTTAAATTATAAAACTAAAATACGTAGAATTGAATAAAAGAATGGTACAATGTCAGTAATGGGAAATTCTAACAGTATAATCTATTCGTCATGATATTCAAATTTGAATTCTGGAAAAGTGTTTCTTGGAGGTAGGACCACATAGCAGAGCCATTCAGATTTAAAACCTCGAGGATATGCACCACATTTTACTATACATACAAATTTAAAAGAGATACAGGCTAGTTATATGATTAATGATTAAACAAAAAATTTGAATGATAAAAGAAATTCACAATTATTCACTAAAAATATATATCAGATAAATTTTATTTTATGATTTTAGTCATTAAATGACTAAAAATAAATCAACATAAATTACCTATAACTAATTACCTATCCTCATTAATATCATTAATTTTTATTCATATAACAAAATAGTTTTAAAATATGTACTCTCAAATTTAACATCTCACTTTTATTTCTGATTTGACAAATAATAATGATAGACTATTGTCATTATGTTGATCCAAGAAAAATGTCTACATCAAGAATTTAAGAATGGGAGTAAAACTCGGAACTCCATATAGTAATTTCCATAAGGAAAATATTACATGTACTTTCATTTTTTATTCTCAATTTTTACTTTCACACCAAATTTTGATGTAGACACTTGTATTGAAATTCACATTAAAAAAAAATTATCAGTGTCCCTCATATCAAGGAATAAAATTTATAGAATATAATTTGGAAGTATATGTAGTAGAACTCTAAATATAATTTGGGAGTATGTAGTCTAAAAAAAAAAAAGGTGGTTTCCTAGGTGATAGTACACAATGTTCAGATCTGGAAATTAGACCATTTTCATGATTGATAGGACACAAATAAGTAGCAATCAAATTGAAGGTAGATTCCGAAATAATAATGTGTGTAATAATAAATAATTACCTGAGCATAAGGAGGCTGATGGGGTATCAATTTTGCAGACAGAGGGAAGCTTGAGGGCCTTGTTGAGGTCGATCGAAACTCCGATGATCCCCTCCGGGTTAGACAGCAGTTTGCAAAGGCATTCCGGGTGGCTGTCCACCAGTCCGGCCAGCTCCGGGCAGCAACCTTTGTCCGGCTTCGTCAGGTTGCTCCCCGCCTGCACGTAGTTCAAGCAGTCCGACATGTTCAGCAGGTTGTTCAAGCAGTCGTCCGACGATGACGGCGCCAGAGGGAACGCTCCGGGACCCTCCACCGGTGCCATGGGGAACGCTCCGGGACCCTCCGCCGGCGCCTGCGCGTTGCTGCTCACCAGAATCAGGGCTGCCACTAGGAGCGCCGCGGCGGCGGGTATGGTGTTTTTTGCCATTACTGATTGTGCGGCGGCGGCGGTGAGAAAGAGTTGCTGTGCGGGGAGAAGAAGAAGAAGAATGGGAGAGAGACAGAGTGGAAGTGTGAGTATATAATGAGTGAGAGACTTTAAGCCTAGACTTATGGTTGAGTGGAAGAGACTCATTCCATAAATTATTGTGTGGATCACGGTTCAAAATCATGTTGTTTTTATGTTAAAATTTTTTTTTTCCGCATGCATATTAAAATAATGAACATTCTAAGATAAGATAATGTATTTTATGAGTTATAATAATGTACTTTATTTTTTATGTTTTAGAATAATGTACTTTATATGTGTTAGAATAATGAAATTTTTGAAGTAAGATATAGAATACATTTTATGAGTTAAAATAATGTACTTTATGTATTAGAATAATGTTAATGTACTTTATGTATTATGAATAATGAAATTTTTGTGTAAGATAACATATTTTATGAATTATAGTATTGTACTTTATTATGTGTTTTTAGACTGTAGTCTATAGAGCTGTGTACACCACGGTCTACGAAGTAAAAATGTATTCAATTTTTTACTTTAAGTGTAAAATAATCTTAAATTTTTAGACTAGTTGTCTCATCTTTAAAAATATTGTCTATAATTCAGCGCTGAGATTAGTCATTGTATCTAATAGTGAAAATCATTTGTTACACCCAAATAAAAATAAATAAATAAAAAGAGATAAAGAGTGGAAGGCTTTAATGGGAAAGATGTGACAATGGCAGGCAGCCCGGAATTAAAGCCCCCACACCTAATACCAAACTGTGTTTAATCGACCGCATCTCAATTCCCCTTTTGTTTTCAAATATACACACACATACACCTATCACATTTTAATGTTACTCCTAATAAAATAGAATATGAGTTTGACATTACAACGTATTAGGTTGACGTGGGTCATGTCAGCAATAACATGAGCATGTCAATGCTTATCTTCAATATTTAATTATATCAAATCTAAGTACAAAAATTAAAGTGAATAAATTGTAATCACTACCTAAGGGTATGCACTAAGTAAATCTTGGTTGATAGGTCGTTTCAATTTAGGATCGAATTTGTAACTTTGCAGTTACTAAGTCAACAATTTGACTAAATTAATTGTGGTTGTCCCCTATAATACATTATTTTAACACATAGACAAGTGGTAGGAAGTCCTAATATTTGATAAAATTGTATTATGTTTTTTATTAATGATGATTAGGAATGTATAATTGAATGTATCAACAACGTACGGAATTACAAAAGGAAGATATACACAAGTGCAGAGTTCTACTCAGACGGGAAATACAATATAATAAGAGTCTTAATACTCCCCCTCAAGTTCATGTTGGGACAACAACCTGCAACTTGTCACGTAAGAGCGCAAACCATGGAGCAGCTAAGGGCTTGGTAAAGATATTCGCGAGCTGATATTTATAGAAGTAAAATTAACTTGAAGTTCACCTGCAGCCACTTTATCACGAACAAAGTGATAATCAATTTCTATGTGCTTCGTCCGAGCATGAAACACCGGATTAGCACACATATACGTCGCTCTGAGATTATCACACCACAACCTCGGTGTAGTCCTGATAGGAACTCCTAGCTCATCTAACAAAGACACCACCCAAGTGACATCTGCACACACATCCGCAATAGCCTTGTATTCAGCTTCAGTTGAAGATCTAGCCACTGTACGCCGCTTCTTACACACCCATGAAATAAGATTAGATCCCAAGAAAACTGCAAAACAACTCGTAGATTTTCTAACCACTGGACAACCAGCCCAGTCAGAGTCAGAATAAGCATGAATATCAGCATTAGGGGATTTACTCAAGCGCAAACAATAGTGCAAAGTCTCTTTCACATACCGTAACACTCTCTTTAGCTGAGCCCAATGAGCTACTGTAACACCCCCGATTTCAAGGCCATTTTAAACTTAAACATGCAAGATGTCTAACCACAATATAAGCAATCACAGCGAAAGTCTAACTATATAAACTGGAAAACGAGGAATGATATGCCATGTCCACGCTAAGGTGAACGCACAGGCGAGAACAACATCCACATAAACATTCTAACAAGGGGCAAGGTTAAAACAACAACAATCTATTGTTTGACATGCATAAAAGGCACACATGCCCAAAACAAACTACATAGTCTGAGGGGTCTACACTATCCATCACTAGATCGCGCTCGCCACTACTTGGGACCTTAAAAGCACATAAATACATAGGATGACGCCCGGTCAGCGAATGATGCTGGTAACCCACCAATACATGTCAATAGCATATATAGATAGATAGTATATACAAAATCATTTTGAAACGGAATACTGTATATATAAGTTCAAAGCCAAGGATAGAAGTCAACCACAAGACTCTATACCACTCACAACAAGATTAAGGGAATACATCCCAAGACACGTCAAGATGAAACAACGACAACACAAGAAAGGCTCAAGGTGTATTCTACCATCACTCAGTAAAATATCACCTGACATGCACAACACAAGAGGATAAGAGACTCACATTGGCAACACATGCCTTCGCGACATCACACGTCACGAATTGATAAACACACAACGGCAACACATGCCTTCGTGACATCACCGATCACGAATTGATATGCCTTCCTTATGCCCGGTTCCAACCTTATGGCTACCCCCAACCTTTTGTCTAGTTCCAACCTTTACCTTCAGGACTCCTGTCACCAAGTCCAACCTTATTCCTCCAAGGACCGTCGTCTCCCCTCCGACAACCTCCAATATTATCACCGATTTCATAGTACACGAGGGTACCGATCACACACATGGCAACACATGCCTCCCAAGAAAATATGAACCCATCACACAGGTCACAAACTCCATATTCGCGTCATGCCCACCACGAGGACCACTGCCGTACCTTGGTGACTAATGTCCCATACCATTAATCGTGCAATCCAGGTACAACCACACACACAACACCATCATAGGAATCAATCAACGGATCACAACGAAGATATGAAACCATACTCAACAAGAGAAGGATCACAATCCGACAACAACGATGATTAACACAAATCATCATCCACAATAGGAAAGAACAAACCACACACGCTAGCATTTAAACACCGAACTAGCATGCTTATCAAACGGGTAAACTAAACGTAGTTCTGAAGAACACACAAGACTCATCATGGTTCAACGAATCACAAGGTTGAACACTTAGCATGATTCAAGACACCAACACCTACATAGAACCCTACCATATAGTTCTAGGCATATGAAACATCAAGAAGACACTCAAAAGCCCAACAAAAGAACATCGGGAAGTCAAAACATCGAATATCGAATCAAAAGAATCACGGGGAACAAATCCCCGCACAAGCTAACATTGTACCCTGCGGGTGGGGCCACGGGTGGAACCCCACCCGTGGTTCTGCCCGCGGGTACAATACCCTGTACCAAAACATCTCTTCGGGGATTTTCAACACCAAGCTCAAATTCAAGTCCAAAACATCTAAAATCTCACCAAATACAACAAAATGACTTGAATCAAAGGAATAGCCAAGCAATGACATACAAGAACCCTAATAACAAGCTCTAGATATGCATTTTCACAAGACAATGCATCAACACTCACATTTCATAGAAAAATCACATGTATAATCCAATAAATCATCATATATGTAAGCAAAATAGATTTTGTAAAGCATGGGTTACCTCTTGTAGACTCAACCTTCACTTATAACACTTCTCAAAGCCCCTAACAAAGTTCACCTTCATCACCCACTTCAAGAACACACCAAAAGATCATAAAGATTTCATCTTTAGGAAAAGATACCTTAGAAAACACTAAAAACACAAAAGGAACATAGATCCTACCCTCCTAGATGCTCAAGAGTAGGAAAGGTGGAATCTTGGAGACAAACTTTGAAGATCTTGGGAAGCTTAAACTTAGCTATATATATATATATATATATATATATATATATATATATATATATATATATATATATATATATATATATATATATATATATATATATATATATAATTTTGAGAAACGTCCCTTAAGGTACCAAGAATAAACGTTGTGTTTGTTCATAAAGGATTCAAGTTGGGGAATAAAAATGCATGTGATCATAGAAGATATTACTCACTTTTTTAGTAGAGGACATATTACTATGATTCGTGTGTTTTGTTCTTTAATGAAAGTTTGCTAGTACTTGCACCAAGTAGGAGACGTACTGTAAGATTTTCCCGTATAATATATATTATATATTATGGGCCTTAATTATGTGGTGCAAGTGGACTAGGCCCATTAAGTAATTGGTTGGACTGGACATTAGGTTTAAGTCTGTATTTCACACCAATACGCGTATATAAAGCATGCATTGATCAATCGTTATACCCTGCACCACGGCGCACAGTGCACTGTGTGCCCCGCGCCTTCCGAAACGACGTCGTTTTGGGAGGCGCAGTAGGAAGTTGACATGATTATGTATATTTGTTTATACAAGTATGTATATTTTTTTATACAATTATGTACATTTTTTTAATACAATTATGTACATCCGAATCAAGAAATTTTTGTGTATTATGTTAAGAGTTGATGTGTATTATGTTAAAAGTTTATGTTTATTATGTATTATGTTAGATTATGTGTATTATCTTTTAAAAAAGAGTATGTGTATTTTGTTATATAATTATGTACATTCATGTATACAATTATGTGTATTCTAGTATAACATTGTGTACATTTTTGAATATGAGATTTTTTTTTAAAGGAAAATTAACTGCCAAACACTGGGTAGCGAATTTTTTTTTTTAAAAAAAATTGAAACGATGTCGTTTTTCATCTAGGCGCACAATGCAACGCGCGTCGTGGTGCAGGATATAAATTGCCTGTATTGATGGGATACAGGACATATAAATTCATTATATAACATAAAGTTATGGTACTCGTACTCATAAAAGGGTAATTGGAATGCCATCATACTAGATGCTAACTTTTTAAATTTCAACACTATTAACTTTTTATTTTAGTTTTAACAATTTATCCTTTTTTTTATATTACCCTTAGAGCATCTACACTAGTGGATAATATGAGGTTATTTCTATATAAATTCTTTCCAACCAGAGTTAATAGCTGATGTGGGTGGGGTTAATTCAAAAATATTTCTCCTGCAAATTAAGGCATAATGTTAGAAATTAAAAAAAAAACAAAAAAAAAAAAAAAAAAAAAAAAAAAACAAAGCAGTGAGACACAACTGCGTCTCACTAACCACCCAACGGGCATGTAACATGCGCCAGGCTGGGCGATTGAGAGTGGCCGCCAGCTGGCGGCCACTCTTAATTGAATACAATCCTGGTCGTTGTTGGCCGAGCAATGGCCAGAATTGTATCCGTTGCCAGCAACGGTCACATTTCTGGCCGTTGCTGGCAACGGATACTTAATATATATATATATATATATATATATATATATATATATATATATATATATAGGCTTTGGATCTGGTGCACCCCCTCTAATAGATGAGCCCATGAGGCCTAATAATACCCATTGATTAGATTCCCATCTATGGTTGAGATTAAAAGAAATAGTTTCAATTATTATCTATGGTAAGGTTAGATTAGTAATTTGGTTAGCTGATTTAATTAATGAATTAATTTAAAAGGAATATGAATTATCTTTTGATGCTTTTGATGATGGAAATTAAAAGATTGTATCTTGAAAAGGATTAAAAGAATGAAATACCGTTAACAATGGTAGATGTGTGAAGGCAGGAACAACACTTTCGGACTTGCAGCAAATGGACAGTAGCAGTACAGGTAAGTGCATATACACGCCTAAGTCTGTGCATTTCCATGATTTCTCGAAACGGTTTACGGCTGAACAAGGGTAGTCGATGGCCGACGATATTTGTGAGCGTTAAGGACGACCCGCCTGTGCGTACGCCGTTAGAACCTAGTAGGCAAGTTAGGCTGAGGTTGTGGGTTGTTCGATACCCGACTATCCAACGGCCTAAGCGTAAAGATACGTTGGCCAGTGCATGCGACGTACTGCCTAATAGACAAAATAGCCTGTGTCCGAGGTGTTTTTTTTATTTTTTATTTTTTTGGTTTCCACCAGTCCGTGCGTAAACACTGTTATGTCTGTGCATATACCTGCTTTTGTCGAATGGTTATTACCGGAACGCCGGGGTGGGGTGTCCGATAGTTTAATTGAGGTACAACATGTCTGTGCATAATGCATTCGTATCTATGATGTGGGGATGGATTTGAGTGCGTCGGTTTTTTAATTACCTTACTTTTGAGTGGCAGGTGCGCCAACTATGGGGGGCGATGTCGACGAAGAATATTGTTATATGAATATATCCCCGAGTGGAACGAAGATTTGGTTGACGGCTTGCGACACATCCATAAAACCATTTGTTGGGCAATTGTTTGCAACATTAGACGAAGGTGTTGAGTTCTATAACAATTACGCCTCTGTCGCAGGCTTTGATGTGCGCCGCAGTTCAGACAAAAAGAACAAGTACAACATTATCTTAAGGAAGAAACTGGTTTGTTCACGTGAAGGTTTCAAAGCGGGGAAAAAATCGGATCCACCAGAAACGGTAATTGGAAAAAAGACCAAACGTCGTAGGCCATCTAACCGAGTCGGGTGCATGGCAAAGATTGTGTTCAAAATAGACGGTGCGGGGAGGTATTTAGTCACGACATTCGAAGAGGGGCACGCGCACTGTTTGTGCGATGATAGCTATAAACCGTTCTTGAAAGTAAATAGGAAATTGGATGTTGGTCACCAACAGTTCATAACAAATTGCGCAAAGGTGAATGTGGGCTCGAGCAAAAGCTTTAAAATATACGCAGAGGTTGTGGGTGGAACAGAAAACGTTGGAGCAACACAACAAGATTTCAAAAATTACCGACAGGAAGTTTTGGCATACATGCACGGAGGAGACTGCCAAATGGTAATATCCAAATACCTGGATATCAAGGCTGACTACCCTGACATGTACTTCGAGTACGAAGCAAACCATAACGACCAATTGATACGGATTTTTTGGTCGGATGGTGTGGCGCGGAAACATTACAGTGCGTTTGGAGATGTTGTGTCCTTCGATGCGACGTACAAGACTAACCGGTAAGAAATTCTGAACCTTGTATAACTTTTTCTATATGCGGACACCAGAAATATGCGAATTAATGCTACTGTGTGTGTGTATATATTTGACCCTCGATATTTAATAGCACAGATGATAGCGTACTAAGCACAGAGTGTGTGCGTTTTCGCTGATACCCATTGATATCAGAAATTAATTCAGAAAGCTATATTTTCTTCATGTGCGCCACTGTAAAAATGTGTGTATGTGTGTAGTGTCCGATAGTATAATTATCTGATAGTATAATTAAATGTTCATCAGTGGTGGGTGCATAATGTTGTACAAGTTTGTGCATTCTCCCTAACATGTTTTACAAATACCATGATACTGAGTCACGCTAACTTTAATATTGAAATAAACTAACACCATGATGTCCCAGGTACGGCATCGTGTTTGTCCCATTTATCGGGATCGACAACCATAAGAAATGCGTGACATTTGGAGCAGCCCTGATTGACCGGGAGGACGTGGACTCGTACATTTGGGTATTAAAGAACTTCAAAAACGCAATGGGCAGCCCCCCCGCAATCACTGTAATTGATCAAGATCCGGCGATGAAAGTTGCAATTGCACATGAATTCCCTGAAACGCGTCATCGGTACTGCATGTGGCATATAATGACAAAGGTGGGTGATAAAGTGGGCACTGACTTAGCGAGGAACGAAGAGTTTAGACGGGAGCTAAATACTGTAGTATGGAACGACGCCTCAACTACTGCAAATTTCGAGCATGCATGGAAAGCTGTAATGGAAAAATATGCCATAACTGAAAATTCGTGGCTGAAACATATGTATGATGAGCGTGCATCATGGGTTCCTGCGTGTTTTGAAGGAGTTTTTATGGGCGGATTACTACGTACTACATCCCGGTCCGAGGCTGAGAATAGAATTTTCAGAAGCAATACTAACAAGCACCTTTGCCTTACAGAATTCTTCATCCGATTTGAGAGTAAAGTGCGAAAGCAACGGATCACGCACGCACATCTTAGTGGTGCCAGCAACGCACAGACCCCCCCTTTCAAAACACCACTGGGAATTGAACGACATGCATCCGAACTGTACACACTAACAGTTTTTTATGATGTCCAGGAGGAAATTATTGCAGGTTGTTTTGAATGCCGGGTAAGAGCAGTGACAATCGGTGACGGCATCAAGACTTATGAGGTGGATGATAAGCGCGGGACACAGTACGGTTTGACCGTTGAGAATGTGACAATGATTACGCACTGCCCCTGCCGAATGTATACAAGGATTGGTCTATTGTGTCGACACACTTTTGCAGTGCTAATATACGAGAGGGTTGATACCATTCCGCCGCAACAGATCACCCCGCGATGGACACGCAACGCAATAACAGAATATGAAGATGAACTGAGGAAGTATGGATATGGAGGGGCCACAACGGGTAATGAAGCAGGAGATGTAATAAACACGTTCTACAGGTGTTTGGGGATTGCCAAGGGGGACAGTTTAAAATTGCAACAAATGTGTTCTGTTCTATCGGATATGGAGACAACTTGGTGCGGGCACGAAGAAGTCCAAGTGGATGCAGCTAGTGGGAAACAAGCGATCATGGAGTCTTACTGTGGCGTACCCGCACCTGAGACGATTACTGTGCACCAACCACCGGTGACAAGCAACAAAGGGTCGGGTAAACGGATGAGGTCTGCTAAAGAGCTGGCAATGAAGGAGCAAAACAGGAAGAAGCGCACGTGCAAAACTTGTGGCATGGCAGATGGGCATAACAGTAGAAGCTGCCCGCAGAAGTAGAAGTGTTATTAGCTATAGCATGCAATTCTGGAAGTTTTTTGTGAGATCGTTTATTCTGAAACTCGTGCACATTTTTGTATGTTTTTTTCCAGCATTCCCATTTTTTTGAGGAAAATGTTACCAGGGAAGCTTTTATAATATGCATATCTTGTTTGAACAATTCTGTAGGCATTAAGCTTTTTTCCCAGCAATCCCATTTTATAGTTGGCAGTTCCTTATTTCCCATATGGATTTACCTGATTAGGACTTAGAAGTTGTGATGTGGTGACTTTTTTTAATGCCTGATTTTTTATGATGTAGTAAAACAAATGTATAACACAAATGTCTGGACTACTCCGGTACCATATATGCGTTAGTACGCATAGATTGCATGTATAGAATGCGTTGTAGTCGATAGGTACGTGCTTATATGCGTAACGAAAATGTCATGTGCGAAGGAAGTATAAATTGGCTGCGTAATACGGTTATGATTGTTGAGAGCATATTAGTCATATGATTGGGTGGCAGATTTAGTACAAACAAATTGTGCGTTTGTTTCAAGCAGTCAATGCACCGTTAAATTAATCTGTTGTTTGGTGCATTTACGTAGTTAGTGCGTTTATATGTATGAAAGGTCGTTGGTCTACTATGCACTGATCAAATCGCAAAATAATGTAATGGAAATACGTATAATATTTGTAATGGAAATCTGGTCTATTCCAAATCATAACAGAAATACCAAAACAATACATAAAGTTGCTAGTAACATAAGATTGACTATGCACTTGCTAGTAAATGCAATAAACTTATCTAACCTAATGCAATTGATTTGGACTGCTGAGTACCGTAATACGAAAATGCACATGATATGCACTTGCTAAGAATGCAATAAAAATATAGTACAAGGCAACTCGCATAGACACTAACATTTAAACGCACAAACGACGCAATAAAAATATAGTAACATATATCTGATACGCACTAACATAAGTTAAAGTAACCTTTTATCCAGCAAATGCACTAACATTGAAGCTGATACGCACTTATCCATTAATATGCACTGACATAAAATTATGCATTTTACTATATACGCATCGTAATATGAAAATGCACATGCTATTTAATATGCTACTGCACATAGCTCGTATTCGCACATACTATATAGTAAAATGCAGACATAATGTATATGTATGCACATACGCATTGTTAATATGAAAAACCGGAATGAAATCTGGTCTATTCCAAATCATAACAGAAATACCAAAACAATACATAAAGTTAGAGATGTAATAATAAACGCAATGTATATAATAGAGGTGTTCAACGAGACGGAACAATTGATCTCATGGCGGAGTTGAAATTCGTTCGACGATGGGTGTTGTTCTGAAACAGCAGGATTTCGGACATATAGCGTTTGCGTAAAGCAAGCAATGCACGTGCGTCACCCCCGCAAAGACCACAATCCCATGACGCATAGGGCTGTCCAGCATAAGACTCCATGTGTCGCATCGCGAACACACCGCAATCTACTTTGTTCTTCGCATCGCGACATGATAGGCGAACCCTACGAGGTATGAACGTAGTGACCTTCATAAACTGATCTGTGGCCTCCACATCCTCCAGGAAAACGGTAAAAAACTCATGCTACACAAATGACATTGTGTTAATAAATAATACATGCGTCTACACAATGGTGGTTTGAACTAGACAAGTGTATATTAAATGTACAATTAGAACCAAATTGTTAATCAAGCATACCAGCAGGTCAGGTATGTGAAGATATTTGTCTAGTGAGAGACCACCAACAGAAGAGTTATCTAACACATCGAAATGCATGCGTCTAAAATCCACTACAATAACGTAGTAGTGACCAGCTTGAAGTATTGGAAATATGAACTGCAACGCAAGAAAGTTAATCACAACCGAATGTGGTTAAAAACAAGGACAAAAAATAAACACTAACCAGATCAATGTCGCCCCAGGAGTTAAACGGAGACGTGTTCAACTCCTCGACCATGCAATCCGTAAACCACTGCAGACGCCGACCACGTGGTGCAGAAACATTGACAACTGTGTACAACTGATTCATGCGAATACAACCTAAGTCAACACCACTAACCAAGACATAACAAAACCTGAAATAAAAACAATAGTCCGTTAACTCACCGTAGTCGTAAGCGACACCAATAGCCTCGAGGGTGACCCACGAGGCCTCAATATCTCCTTAAAATTCAACACACATGCCCAGGCATTTATTATGCCCACAAGCACTTCCTGACCTTCAAGCAGTGAACGAAATTCTTCCCTCCGTGCAGATCGGCCACTAAATAGAAACAGCTCCTCATCCCTGTCCATGAACAGGCAACGGGCGGTTAGAACCCACTAAAGGGGGGAATTGATGAAATGAAGGTAGACTGCAAAAAGGGATGTAATACATGTCGCTAAGTCTAGATCTAGCAACCCAATCATAGATTTCCTGCGGATCGGGTGCGTTGACACTTAGAGCGTTCGCGGGCACGTGCGCGTGTCCGGTGATCGTATGAATTCAAGTCAAGCGTTCTCAATGCCAGTACGTTGCCAGTTGTTTGTCGCGGCTGCTTCACGGGTGCAAGACACCGCGGTGTGTTACATACAACCATAGGCGGGTTCAGTACTGGTATACGTTGCTATGAAACCAAAAGAATACAGGTAAGCCTCAGGGTATATAAAACCAGTTCCTACAAATGAACGGACAATATTTACACAAACTGCAGCAAAATGAAAACGTACCTCCATCGGAGTCACCTTAGTTGCACTCTCCCCAGGAACACCATCGCGCAAGGTCCTTTTGTTACCCCCGCCAATACGTACTCCCAGGCTAAGTGATGAAGGCTTACGGACAGCTGATACTTGGTGATCACGGGCCTACATACATAGGGGAAAATACGGCTATGGAAATTAAAACAACCAGTCCCTAACGCACCAGTGACAATCTGTGCGCCGCACATACCACGTTTGTGTATCGCGCACCACCCCGGCGTTAAAGCCTAATGCGCACATACCCAATATGGGTGACGCATCCCATTAAAATGAAAACGTACCTCCACCGGAGTCACCTTCGTTGCACTCCCCCCAGGAACACCATCGTGCCGGGGCCTTTTGTGACCCCCCGCAATACGTACTCCCAAGCTATGTGGTGAATTTTTACGGATAGCTGATACTTGGTGATCACGGACCTACATACGTAGAGGAAAATCAGGCTTTAGAAATTAAAACAACCGGTTCCCTACCGCACAATGAAATCAGTGGGCTGCACATACTCCATATGTGTGCCGCAAAAACCCCCCAACTAATACGCACTTACCCAATGTGGGTGACGCATTGCAGCCAGTCTAATGTTATTACGCACCTGCCAGCACCCCCCTCCCAAACGCTGACACAATCACGTTATATCGCACGCCATGCAATACCCACAATGTAAACTCGATGTGTGAATAAAATCGATGTTTGTACTTACTGAACCACATGGGGCGGATGACCAACCACGAGGCACGACATTTGGCGTACGTACGTCATATTCACGGACAATAGCATCCACCACCTCCCAACATTGGGTTGGCAGATCTTGAGACAATCCAAATCCCACCGGAGACGTATCCTGAGTCAACCCAAGACTAAACGAGGGAATGTCCGCGTCAGCCTATGGAGCGACAATAAACCAGTCACAAACTAAAATACTCAATCATTAACATACAAAATATAAACACACATGAAATATTAACACAAAAATACATCCATCCTGCCAACATAGTTAAACATACATGCATCACCGTGCATACCCCGGTACAGTTCAAAAGGGCAACAAGATACCTACGGGTAAAATAGCACAAAAAAAGGACATTCTAGAACCATAACTGAATTAAACAACAGGCTAAAAACGCCTAGCCTTTCTGCGCCGGCGTACTACCTTACTTACGGCTTTGGGCCTACCAACTCCAGGCACAACCTCCGAGGGAGCATCACCACCTGTCTCCACGCACGGAGCGGTGTTAGAACCCGCACATGCAGTACGGGGAGAAGAAGGAATCTGCTGTGTCACGGGGGGGGGGGGGGGGGGGGGCAGTTCCTCAACGCCAACTTTCCCCTGCTGAGCAGCTGTAACAACCGCGTCAACAGCATCTAAATTTGCCGGGTTGTCCCAAATCTCGTCGCCGCTGAGTGCACCAGCAGCCATCGCATCATCCGTACCTGCTGCGCAGGAGGGTCCCACACCGTCAATCACCTGCATAAATTTCCGAGCGCCTAATACAAGCCTATCAAAAGCTTCAGGAGGCCGAGGTAGACCGATATGCTGATCCATGAACTCCATCATGTCCACAAGAGCTAGAGCTAGTGCGTCCGTCTTTTCAGCGTATATCTCTGCCTCAGTCTACAAATTTGTTAAGCAAGAACTCAGCAAAACAAAAACTATCTTAAAAATGCACTAACATAACATTGTCTATGCACTTGCTAAGAATGCAATAAAAATATAGTACAAAGGAAACTCGCACAGACACTAACATTTAAACGCACAAACGATGGAATAAAAATATATTAACATATATCTGGTGCATATTATATATCTGGTGCATGGACACTCTGTGCGAGTTATGCTACTGCACATACATTCTTGTTGCACAAACTATATATTTGTAAATGCAAACCCAAGTAACCATTTATCTAACAAATGCACACGCATTGGAGCTGATACGCACGTACCCATTAATATGCACTAACATAAGATTGTCTATGCACTTGCAAATAAATGCAAACCGAATTAACTAACAGGCAAGGCGCACAGATGCTACATCTAAATGCAAACCAAATAAATGCAAACCAAATTAACTAACAGGCAAGGAAACTCACACAGACACTAACATTTAAACGCACAAACTAACAAATGCACACGCATTGGAGCTGATACGCACGTACCAATTAATATGCACTAACATAAGATTGTCTATGCACTTGCAAATAAATGCAAACCGAATTAACTAACAGGCAAGGAAACTCGCACAGACATTAACATTTAAACGCACAAACGATGCAATAAAAATATAGTAACATATATCTGATACGCCCCAACATAACATATAGTAACCATTTATCTAACAAAAGCACTAACATTGGATCTGATACGCACCTACCCAGTAATATGCACTAACATAAGATTGACTATGCACTTGCTAGTAAATGTAATAAAATTAACTAACAGGCAAGGCGCACAGACGCTACATCTAAACGCATATACTATGAATTATTCTAGAGCATAATTGATCTGGACTGCCGGGTACCGTAATATGAAAATGCACATGCTATGCACTTGCTAAGAATGCAATAAAAATATAGTAAAAGGCAACTCGCACAGACACTAACATTTAAACGCACAAACGATGCAATAAAAATATAGTAACATATATCTAATACGCACCAACATAAGATAAAGTAACCATTATCTAGCAAATGCACTATCTTATGTTAAATGCATATGCTATTTAATATGCTACTGCACATAGCTCGTATACGCACATACTATATAGTAAAATGCAGACACAATATATATGTATGCACATACCATAAACCTACATTGCCAAGAATAAAACCCAACGTGCTTGTTACAGCTAAAAAAAACAGCAGCGAAAACCCCTATGTATTACTATAAAACGAAACTACAAAATATAAATCGAGACACAATAATGGGAGCGGTCCAAAACGAAACTACCTTGGCAGGATCATCCCCCACTGCATTAGGCACCTACAAACATAACATAAACAGTATGAGCAACATACCTCACCCCATACCCTACAAAAGGATAAATAGGGAACATACATACCTCCATAATATATGGACCAACTACCTCACCACGGCCAAATCCACCGCTCCTGAACTCCTCAAGTTCCCTAGCCTTCAACAACCTCGTTGACCATCCACGTAAAGCTGGAAAAGCCCTAGGCACAACCCTCTCACCATGAACCAACCTATCCACATAAAGAAGCTAATAACAAGACACATATTAGCTTTGTTACCACATGGAAAACATCTAACTGCTTATGAAACTGATTATGAAATCCTTACCAGTAAGAATACATAGGGTCCAATAAATGGCTGTTTTGTATCCTTAATCCACGTTTCATGCCTATCAACCAAACAATCAATCACAAATTTGCACCAATTCAGATTCTTAATCCCATCCACGTCCTCGAAGTGGTGGAACCATTCGCCATTCGCCATGGGTGAAGCCATGGGTGAAGCCAATGTGCTAATCGCCAACACAGCAAAATTCCTCTTGAACTCCACGTCGCCCTCGAGATTCTCCTGTACCTTGGTAGAAACCATATGCAAAGTAACATCATGGATTGTCTTCTCAAACTTCGAGCGCCACATCTTTAAAGTATCACTAATGTCGTCCTTCTTCCGTTTAGTGATCACGTCTCCATGCGGCAACCCCAACACAGCATTAACATCAGCCTCCGTAACAGGAATGGTAGAACCATTCTCAACCCGCAAAACCTTGGCTTCAGGATCAAAGTTCGTGAGCAACCACCTGGCTAACGACTTAGGGATGGACATCAAGTCCAGGTTCAGAAGCTCCCCCAATCCTAGCTCAACTACGGCTTTCTTCTGGCAAGCGTTGAAACGCTTCATAGGCTTAACGAGATTCCTGATGGAAGCTCTAGTCTTCAATTGCGGGAACATTTTAACATCAACCTCGTCAGCCTGACTATCCGGCGCAGGGTCGGCGGGGGCTTGGGTCGCTTCGTTATCTTCATGTGGTGCCAAAGACGGCGCGGGGTTGTGTCCTTCGACAGGGGGATCATGCTGTAAAGGTGCAACCGGATCGGCTACACCAACCGGGGGGGAGGGGGGACACCGTGACCTGCATAAATCAGAAAACAACATCGTTTACCGAACCATAAATAAACAATATAAAGGCACTACAAACATATTGAAACCTGCATTTAACATCCCAGGCACACACCATTATACCTATCCAAATTAAAACAAATACAACTCTGAAGGTGCACTGCGCATATGTTATACCCTATAAAAGCACAAACCACATGCACCCCTCGAAAGCATAATAATGCACATACCATAACCGTATATATGCACAGACTTAATACAACAAAAAGAACACTAAAATCACATAATACAGACTAGACATGGACATGCACTTATAATATATCTGGTACATATAATATATATTCCCAAAAATGCACAATCCTTAAAACGAACGACCAATGACCCTAATTGATAAATTAATTAAGGCTAACTAGAAATGCACTCGCATATTCACTACTACGCACATACACATTGTGTCACATCCCCTATCTATCTTTCTTTTAAAAATAAGGGGTATGACACAGTGCATTAAACTGCTAAACAGAGCACTGAAGAATTAATATGCACAAAAATTAAAATTTACACAATCATGTTTGAACATATATAACGCACTACACGATCCTCTATATGCACATACTAACATACTAATCAGAACGCACATACTAATACCTACAACCATTATACCTGACGGTAATAATGTTACCGGAAATATATTGTAAAGTGACGAATAAGAAAGTGACAATAGTTGTATTGCCTTTTGTCTCAGTATAGAAAGTACAGTGTGTCCCCTGCTCAGCTGAGGGAAGTTCTATTTATGCTAGGTCCTAACGGTAACAACATGAAGAGACATCCTTGGGGAGCTGAGCTAACGGCAAAAATATGAAGAGTCATGAATGAGGCGTTGAGGCTTTAACTCTCTCACATCAATGGTGGCATCAAAGGTGGCTTCAATGACAATAAATGTGACACCTGTTGAATTCTAACCGTTGGAGTTCTGCCCGTTGGGTTCCCATGTGATGCTGAGTCAGATGCTCATTTGTGATCCGGGTCGGGTGCCAGCCCTATTATCCTGTCAATACCTATCCAACTTAAGACAACCATTATACCTGATAATCCAGGAAGAGTTTAATGAAAAGAAGCAAAAGAAGTTAACATGTTTAAAATGATAAAAGCCAGATTAAGTATAGATATTATATGCACATGCTAACCAGAACGCACGTACTATATACCAAAAATGCATTTAATGAAAAGAAGCAAAAGAGCTTAACATATTTAAAATGATAAAAGCCAGAATTTTACGTGCTTTTCCACCATCAACAACATATGGAATTGCAGAAAACACCATTCACTACATTTTACTAGCAATTTTATGTTTCATTTTTCCTGTTTTACCATTCACTCAAATCACATCCATATTACCAGAGAGTATAAAAAAAATTACCAATTTTCCATACTAAAGCTAGAATTTATAACAATTACCAGAGAGCACACAAAAAAAAAAAAAAAAAAAAAAAAAAAAAAAAAAAAGAATGAAAGGCCGGCGGATAACAATTTTCCGCCGGAAAAACCAACACCATCACACACATGCAATCCCCAACCCTAACACGCAACTACCCAGTACCCTCTCCCATTCCCCGCCTCCCAATAACAGGATTTCGCCGGAAAATCACCATCTAACACATGCAACACACCCCTAACATCCAAATGAGAATTGCTTGGCTACAGAACCACAAAACCCCCCAAAAACCCCCCTTTGTTAGACTAACATATGATTATCCGAAAAAAAAAAAACTAAATAATAACAC